ATAGAATAGAATAGAATAGAATAGAATAGAATAGAATAGAATAGAATTCTTTATTGGCCAAGTGTGATTGGACACACAAGGAATTTGTCTTGGTACAAATGCTTTCAGTGTACATAAAAGAAAAGATACATTCGTCAAGAGTCAAGAAACATAAGGTACAACTCTTAATAATAGTCATAGGGTACAATAAGCAATCAAATCATACTAGGAAACAGTCAATATAAATCATAAGGATACAAGCAACAAAGTTACAATCATACTCTTTTCACTATCTTTAGCATTTATTTGCCTATTCAGAAGTACGTACCATAATCCACGCTACAAGACAGTTTGACTAGACTTGTCCAGCATTGGCTTCATAAGAAGTCAAGATTTGTGAAATCACATAATTGCCAGAGTTCCTTTTAACTGATGGGAATAATTGCTGAGGATTAATATATAAGGCTAAGAAGTAAGACTTCAGCTTCTTGCTCCTTCACCCTTGATATTTTAATCCCTATTTCTTTAGACTACAGAAATAGATGGCCTCCATTGCAGTGACTCTTTTGTTGTGAAAGATGTGAAAATGTGATTAAAAGCATAAATATTTGTATTTTATTATTAGCACTGCTCTCATATAAAAACAGAATTGAACACTTGATAAATTAAATTGCACTGTGGTTGTTTTTGTCGTTGTTGTTTAGAGTATTGTTCCTGACCTGAGTTACACTATCCGCTCCCCTATGTTGGAAAAATGGGAAGGGATTAAGCAACTAAAAGCTGCTCTTTGGGCACTGGTTAGTTAAAAATATTTATTTACTACATTTTAATATATATATATTAAAAGCACAACTATAATGACGTGGGAAAATAACCGAACAAAGCTGAATACCATACATGTAAGTACCCACGAAAACTTAAGAAATAAATAAATATAAATATAAATATAAATATAAATATATATATATATATATATATATATTTGTTTTCTGAGGTTCTCGCGGGTATTTATATGTAGATCTTTGGTTGTTCGGGTTTTCTCCCGCGTAAGATTTGAAGTATCTAGGCAACGTTTCGATGAAGTCTCATTCATCATCTTCAGGCTTCTGTCTCCAGCTCTGTGCTTCTCAGAGTAATGGAGATTGCAG